CCAGTCGTGGATAGAATTGGGACTTCAAGGCCATGCAGTAACTTTCAATATGGAAATCAATGGCCAGGAATCGATCCTAGTGATACAAGACACTCACTTCCTTGCCTAACTCATATCGGAGGGCATGAACTTAGCAATGAACAATTATGTGAACCAAATGTGGTTAAACAATATACTCCAACCAATAGCTCCCAATATGAACCAAAACTTGGTGAACAACATGAAGCAAATGTGGAACATTCCACATCACCCAAACCAACAAGTCTTACAGAACCCTCCCCTCAATCTACCCTTCTTTGCACCGGAGGACATGATGCTCCTCAACCTAGTCTTCATCCAATGGAATGCTCCAGTCTTCCCCAACCATCCAGACCCACAACCAGATCCCATGGAAGAGCAATTTCAACAAATGAACGTACCAAATCAAGTAGGGAACCAAGAGGGAGACGAGGCAGTGGAAGACTTAGCATACTTAGTGGAACCAGTTGTGACTCTTTCAAGTCTAAACGAGGTAAAAATATTGATATTCAGGGAGATGCTCGACAGGAAGTATATCTTCAGCTGCCCGATGACATTGTACAAGTGCTCGTTGGACATCCGTCCACCTCATGATCCAACAGTGGGAAAAAATGTAGTGATTATGATTCCATCCCAAAGAGTGATGCAAAACACCAATCCACCAAATAATATGCCCATGCACCAGCCCAATAACGTAGTCATTTGCAATGTTAGAGGTGCAAATAATGAAAATTTCACCAGAAACTTTAGGAAACTAATGGACTCACATAGGCCGTGTCTAGTCGCACTACTAGAAACAAGAATGGAAAGCCACCTCTCAACATTGGAAGCATTTAGCTTCACAGAGATGATAGAGGTGTCTTCCAATGGACAAAGTGGAGGTTTTGTGATCCTTTGGAACAACGAGGTGGTCACTATCAAAAACTTCAATAGAAATGGACAAGCTATTCATGCCATGATTGAGGTTAGACCTAAAAACTTAACTTGGTTAATTAGTGTTATATATGCTAGTAATGATGTTAATTACAGATAAATGCTTTGGGATAACCTAAGAAAAATGTATGATAGTTACAAAGGGCCTTGGCTAATAGGCGGGGATTTTAATGAAATAACTAATGTATCGGATAAGTTTGGTGGTAGATCTATTAATCAAAGGAGAGCAAAATCCCTCCAAAATTGCCTAGAATATTGTAACCTATTAGATTTAGGCTTTAAAGGGTGAAAATACACTTGGACAAATTTTAGGAAAAAAAGTAATGGGTTGATCATGGAAAGACTTGATAGGGTCTATTCAAATGAAGGTTGGCTAGAAGCCTACCCCAATGCCACTGTCACCCACCTCCCTAAAGTCCATTCGGACCATAATCCCATTTTGATAAACTTGAACAACACCATTAATTCCATTAGGAATAAACCTTTCCGGCTAGAAAGTTTTTGGTGTAATCATCCAGAATTTAGCAACTTAATATCCGTCAATTGGGGTGACAAAGACTTACTAGAAGGCACGGAGAGTTTCAAAGATATGGTGATAAGTTGGAAAAACCAAACCTTTGGAAACATCTTTACTAGGAAAAAGAAGCTCCTAAATAGAATCAATGGCATCCAAAATTCCCCAAACTACCAAACAAGCAGTTTCCTCAGGAATTTGGAAACCAAACTAGTTGAGGAATTTAATTCAATCCTGAGACTAGAGGAGGATTATTGGAAAATAAGATCAAGGGTGGATTGTTTACGCGAAGGGGATGCTAACACTAGATTCTTCCACATCAAGGCCACAAATAGAAGACGAAGAAACAACATAGTTTTCTTTAAGGATGACTTAGGAAAATGGATAGAAAATCCTTTGCTAATAAGAAATCATGTCACAAATTACTTTAAAAGTTTATTCACCACCTCCCATAAGTGCTCTATCAAATGCAATGACACTGCTTATTACTCCCACAATTGTGACCTATCAATCCTTGATAGACCCCTTACAAACCACGGAATTAGAAAAGCTATTTTTTCATTTAAACCATTCAAAGAACCAGGACCGGATGGCTTTCATCCTTTCTTCTTCTAGAAATTTTGGCATCTATTAAGAGGGAAAATAATCAAGCTTTGTCACAATATATTTACTACCAACAAAATTCCTCCAGGGATGAACCACACGTACATCTGTTTAATCCCCAAGACAAACAATGTTAACCTATTAAAATACTTTCGTCCTATAAGTTTATGCAATGTTATTTACAAAACCATTACCAAGATAATTGCAAATAGAATAAAGCCCTTCCTAGACCACCTTATAAACATTGAGAAATCCAGTTTTGTAAAGGGAAGAAGAGGAAGTGACAATGCTATTATAATTCATGAAATCCTAAGACACTTCAACAAATGTAAGGGAAAAGGGAAAATGATCCTAAAGCTTGATCTAGAGAAAGCCTTCGATGAGCACGAATGGTCCTATATTTATCGAACGCTTAAGTACTATAATTTCTCTAAAAACATTACAAATCTCATAATGAACGCTGTCACAACTAGCTCATTCTCAATCCTCGTCAATGGAAATAAAACTGAAGAATTTACCCCTTCTCGAGGAATCGGGCAGGGTGACCCCCTATCCCCTTACCTTTTTATTCTATGTATGAATATGTTATCTAACAATATTAAGCATGAGGTGGATATCAAGAACTGGACTCCTCCTAGACTTAATTCCTTGGCACCTAGTATATCCCACCTTTTTTTCGTGGATGATATAACACTTATGGGAGAAACAAACTATAAGACCATCACCAGCATTAATCAATGCCTAGAAAATTTTAGTAAGCTTTCAGGCCTAAGAGTTAACAAAGCTAAATCTAAATTAATAGTGTCCAATAATTGTTGTAATGACACAAAGACTCTTATAACAAATACACTGGGAATAACATCAAGTACTAGCTTTGGGAACTACTTAGGCTTTCCCATGCTAAATGTCATTCCAAGGCATACAGACTACCTTCCTCTTCTTGATAAAATGAGAGCTAAACTCAACAACTGGAATGCTAAATGGATCAGTATGGCTGGTAGATGTACTCTCATAAAATCTACCCTTAACACTCTTCCCAATCACCTTATGCAAACATACATTCTTCCTAAAAAAACTTTAAAGGAAATCGACAAAATCCAAAGGAATTTCTTATGGGGTACTACCCAGGACCAAAAGAAACTGCACCTAATTAACTGGGACATTGTCACTAAGGAAGTTTCCAAAGGGAGGTTAGGTATAAGAAAAGCCTACCAAAAAAACCAAGCCCTAATCACAGGCCTAGCTTGGAGAATCCTCAACAATACTTACTCCCTATGGGTAAAGGTACTAATTAGTATTTATGGGAGAAAAAAGAAAACAATTGGCTCATCAATCACTTGGAAAAGTCTTTTGGAAGGATGGAATATCTGTAAAAAAAAAAGGCATTAGATGGCCAGTTCATAACAACTCATGTCACAACATTTGGGACACAAATTGGATCCCTATTTATAAGAACCTTAGGAGCAGTATACAAGGGCCTCTTCCAAAAGGAGAGGATAAACTACAAATTAAAAATATTAGGGATAATAACACTTGGTGCTTAGAAAAACTCTCCTTTGAACTACCAACCCCTTTAAAGAATTGTATCAATTCCATTCCCTGTAATAATGAATACTCAATTGTCCTAAGTAATATATGTTGGAGTCTCACCTCAAATGAATTGTTTACAACCTCTTCATCCTACCAACTAATTGACAATAACAACAACAATACCTTAAATAGCATCTGGCTCTGGAAGCTCCAATGTCCTAACAAAATAAAATTCCTCCTATGGAAAATATACAATGGACGCCTTCCCACAAGAAGCTTCTTATCAAAAATTGGTATAAACATTGATCCTTTATGCCCAATATATAAAAATAACAATGAAACTATTGGCCACATATTTTGGGAATGCCATATAGCCAAACACCTTTGGCACAACTTTGGTATCAACACTGTTGACAACCCTAGCAACAAACTTTGGATGGACTTCCTCTTGAACACACAACCAAAAATAAGTCCTAAATATGTACATTGGCACCAATTATTTCCTTTTATAATATGGGAAATTTGGAACAACAGGAATCAAAACAATATTAATAATAAAACCAACCCTATCAACATCAAAAAAATATTTGCTTACACAAATGAATATTACTTCTACACTAATAAAAATGTGATAGTGGAGAGGACTATATTATTACAAGTAAAGTGGATGAAACCACCCTTAGGGTGGTACAAAGCAAATATTGATAGTGCCTTCGACATAAAAATCATGGAATGTGGCATTGGAACTGTGATACGTGACTCGAAAGGACGCTGGTGTGTAGGATCATCGATGAAAATTCTTGCAACATCACCATTACAAACAGAACTTATGGCTCTACGCCACAGCCTTCAATTAATAATCAAGGAAGACCTCTTCCCCGTGAAAGTGGAAACTGATGCAACGGATATATTAAACATAATATATAAGAACACCCTTGCTAACGACAAACTTTACTTTGAATGCAGATCATTAGTGGAGGAGGCAACCAAGCAGGGGAGGATATCATTCATGCATAGCTTCAGACAAGGAAATGGCGTGGCTCACACTTTGGCAAATGAAGCTCTAAGAAACAAGACCTTTGATAAACTATGTATTTTTGCTAAGCCTCCTAATTTTGTAATCGATCTCTATGAAAGAGATATGGAGGACTATGTTTATGTAAGATCGTGTAGTACCAAACAATGCGAAATTCTAGCTGCTCTAGGAAAAATTAGTGCCATAGATGGCCTAATGGTTGACAAAAGTAATGCATGTATAAACAATATCTATAGGGGGAGACAACCCTCCCTACTTAGCCTTATATATATAATATATATTTTTCTTTCAAAAAAAACAATTGTTGCATTTTCAAATTTAAATTTATTTTCAGCTTTTACAAAAAATTAAAAAATTGTCAAACTCACTCATCTACTGTAGATCAAAACCACAATCATCTATTACGTGTTTCTCTTCCCCTCTTCCATTCTATACATTTTCTCTTCATTTCAGATCATTCCCTAATCTGTATCGAGAGGTACGTTCTTGGATCTTTTCTTTTTTGTTATTTAAGCGCCTTTTTCTCTTCTCAAATTGGATAAGCTTCTTGGGTTTTTGTTATGGTGAATGATAAATTTCATCGGTATATTAATTAGTGAGATTTAAAGAACTTGTATTTTTATAGACCCCATATTTGGCAGATGTTGCAAATCTTTGTTAGGGTATCATAATACCAATCTCTTAACAACTCCAGAACAATTGTCAATGTGCTGGATTTTATGTGGTCTATTTGAATTGTTATGTGAGGAACAAAGCAAGCTGTAGGACTACTTTTGTATATGTCTAATTCAAATTATCTGAATCTGACCTTTTCAAAATTGTTTTTCTTGAGCCGAGGGTCTTTCAAAAAGTACATCTCTACTCCTTTGACTCCACAAGGTAGAGGCAAGGTGCGCGTACACTTTACCATCCCAGACCCTACTATGCTAAGTTGCGCAGACTCTTCGATTTTGGTTCCGTCCCCGTCCCGATACAAGACACGGACGGGAGCGGGATACGTCTCGGATTTGGTCAACTGACTTCGAACACTTTGAACTGAGTCTATCGATAAGTTTGGGAGAAAAATTGAGATTTTGAACAGATTTGGGAGAATGAAAGATAATGTCCATCTTGGAGAATGAAAGATTGAATTCTATAATATTCATGTAAGTTTTTCACAGAATATCTCTCAAAATTTACAATATTTTTATAGCTGTATTTTTTATTTGCCGAATCCCCGCACCCGTATCCATATTCGGATCCACACCCCTGAATCTTAAAATTTAGATTTTGCCGAATCCAATACTCGGATCCGTCCTTGTATTGGATACCCGCACCCCAGTCTGAGCAACTTTGCTACTATGTGAGATTACGCTGGGTTTGTTGTTGTTGTGAATTGTTTGAATCTGCATATGTATTTACAAGGGTTCACGAATGATTCGAGCTTGGTTAAAACTTTCTATTGGAATATGTAAAACCCAATATAGTGAGTTATTGAAGTGAGGGGGACCTCAAAGCTACCTGTAGTTTACGAAAGTTTCCTTAGAATAGGTATAAAGGTAATCTGCTAGGGCTGTTGTTTTCCGTTCTTGTGAGTTGAGCTCACTTCAAATTTGATTTCATCCGTCAGCTATATTATTAGGATTCACGATGAATTGGCTAGTTTTACACTTGTTGTCAGCCTATTGCAACCCCTCCTTTATCCAGGCTTGAGACCGGCAATGTGAGTAAGGTCACACTGATGTAGTTCTGCACATAGTGTGTGCATGTAGGCCTATGCATGTATCACGTTCTTCTTTGATTCTCCACCCGATATAGTGAAACCCTTCAAAATATGATCCACACATATTTTTATCCTTGAAGGTATTGCATACATGAGTTAGGAATTTAACTCCTCATCCTACCATTGAGGATGCACTTTCTATACAAGCTATCAGCAAGTGTGTCTGCAGGATAGTTAGTGCTTTTGAAGCTCGTTCGCCAAGATGCGTTGTACTTCTCTCCTAGTTGAGGCGTCGTTTGTGACACAATTACGTGTGCGGATATGTGTGGCTGTGTATCCCAAGAGTATATTTCAAGACTTAAGAAAATGTAGGATCCTTTCATATCCAAATAGTCAAGGGGCGAGATGAAGTTAAGCATGTACATCAGTATTGTAAATATTCTTTATCTCACTAAGATGTGCATGGTATTATTTGAGACAATAGCTCTTGATGCTTTTGTTGTGTAGCTATCCCTTGGTATGCATGGAGGACAATTAGGTAGCTTTCCTTAACGGCTTTTAAGCTCGATTACTTTTGTACTATCTTGGATCTTTTGAGGTAGGTTGGTATAATATATCAATCTTATGGGGTTTCCAATTACATTTAGTAGTACTGCAGAATTTTGAGATTATGCATTCATATTGAAGTGAATATATGTACGCATGATGCATCTTAAAATATATTGACAAGCTTACAATTTACCTCTGTTAATTTCTTAAAGCTTCAAAATATTTTAATATAAACAAGAGAGAAGATATCTCATGTGTGGTATGCTTAGTGCTGTAACTGCTGTATAATGTCAACTGATACGCGATTTTTCTTATTCTTTTGCAGTGATGGTTTGTGTAGCTAACCTCTCAAGTGAACGTCCTCCAATCATTTCGCTTTTGGTATTGGTTCCAAATACAGGTAAAAGGTATAGATAAAACCAACCATGGCGTCTGTTGAAATTTACTCAGGTTGACGAGTAACTACCTTCCTACTTCTTGGGTACCTTATCATTCAAAAACCAGAATTTTTTGCCATAAGTCAGGAAATCTCATAGGTGGACTTGCTCTTCTAGCTATGTCTTTTAACTAGCCTCTCTTTTAATAAAATCGTTGTGAAGTTTCGAGCTTCAACCCTTCACTGGAGTGTTAACCTGGTAGAAATGGATATTCCATCAGATGACTTCTCTTTGTCCATCATGCAACTTCCAGACGATTGTTTACTCTCTATTTTTCAACACCTTGACTGCGGACGTGACCGTGAGTCATTTGGCTTAACATGTCGTCGTTGGCTTCAAATTCAAAATCTAAATAGAAGATCTTTACAGTTCCAATGCTCTTTTACTATGCTTAATATTTCCTCATTATCTCAAAATAACTCCCAAATCAGTATTTTCCAGTTATCTAGGCTTCTGAACCGTTTCCAGCAGCTAGAATCATTGTCCCTGTCTGGTTGCACCGAGCTTCCAGATTCGGGTTTGGCTTTGTTGCCACGTCATGGCTCGAAATTGCAACGTCTTCATCTTGACTGTTGTTTTAGGATAACTGATAATGGTCTTTCCTTCGTGGCATCTGGCTGTTCTTCGTTGGTAATACTAAGTCTTTACCGGTGTAATGTTACAGATTACGGGTTAGAGGCCTTATCTAATTCTTGCGTAGCTTTAGAAGATCTGAATTTGTCATATTGCCCTCGAATCTCTGATTATGGCATAAGAACTATTTCACAAAACTGTCGTCATCTTAGAGCTGTCAGGATATCCTATTGTAGAAAGCTAACCGGTGCTGGCTTTCAAGGATGTTCTCAGACTCTGACTTATTTGGAAGCCGATTCATGTAGGCTCGAGCCTAATGGAATACGGAGTATCCTAAGTGGAGGTGGACTTGAATATTTGAGTGTGTGTAACTTGACCTGGTGTATTCATGTCGATGGTTTAGTAGCTATTAGTGTCGGATTTGCTGCAAAGTTGAGAGTGTTAAATTTCCGGTTCAGCAGAACGATTGGCGATAATTGTATCATGGCAATAGCAAAGGGTTGTCCATTGCTTCAGGAATGGAACTTAGCATTATGTCATGGGGTCATGATAGGAGGGTGGGAATCTATTGCATCACATTGTCATAACTTGAAGATGCTACACGTTAATCGGTGTAGAAATCTCTGTGACCGCGGATTGCAAGCGTTGAGAACCGGCTGCAAATGTCTCTCCATCCTTTACATTACCAGATGTTCTCAGATCAGTGCTGTAGCATTGGAGATTTTTAAACTTGCCAGAGGAAATGTAGAGGTCAAAGAAGAAGAAATAATGTGTATCTGCCCTCAAGGAGCCTTTCGGTTTTAATAGGCGGCAACAATCTTCAAGATTCTTGCGTATAATTTCTTATGTTTTTTTTGTGTGTGTGCGCGCCTCATAAGCAAAAGATGAGTTGATTATTGCATGTATACAATTACAATAAATATTGCTCTACAAATTTGCAGAAATATTGTTCATTCCCCATGCTCTAAGGGTATGGATTCATACTTTATATTCAACGCAGAACAGTTTTTCGTTGCTGAATACTAAAATTTAGACGCCGCGAGTTCTGAGCTGAGAGATTGGATGCTGAAAAGTATATATAATCAAACCTCTCTATAACAGCTTTGTTTGTTTTGATGTTATAGTGAAGTGTCGTTATATAGACATATATTATAACATATAAACATATATTATAACATAACATGAAAATTAGTTCCGAAATAGCTTTGCTTTTATAGTAAAGTGTTAGTTATATAGAAATGATATTATAAAAAAGTTTTGACTATATATAACTCTATCCACCTATGGTTAAATCCAGTTCTATCCACCTTTGTTCCTAGGCTAAATGTGTTCGGCCATGTCACTTGTATACTGTGATTGAACGACTTAGATTCTATAGAATCTATACCACCAAAAAAAAGTATAAAAGGGAAAAAGTAAAAGCAAGATGCCTGATGTTAAGTGCATGGAAAGTATCCTTAAAAGCCGTTTTTTCATTCTTTTTCAATGAAGTATGAAAGAAATTACTACATTATCAACAAGTTACAAGAATCAAGAATGACCTAGTAAGTATGCAAAATACATTTTGGAATGCCTTAAATATGTAAACAAATAAGGTTAAGAGCATGCATAACAAAGAAGACAGACATTAAGTCATTGAAGACTTTGCAATTGGTGGATTTACACAAATCTTGCTCAATGAAGCATTTATCACCAATCAATAGAAATCGCACACCGTATCTAGAAAACTATCGGTTCATCCCCCAAACTTATCGGGGTGCACATTGATCAATAACCTACAATCCCGCACAATTTGGCAATCCCTACGAAATTATGAGAGAGAGGGAGAGAGAGAGAGAGATTTTTCTCATTTAAATGCAGCATGCCAATCTCTCACGATAGATCGGGTTTAAATATGAGTACACCAACATAGCTCTTATCAATACTTTAACTTTCATTTAGATTGCAGCCTGTTATCATTTGCTTCTGATGGTAGGTGACAACTCAAAGTCAATTACTAAGGATCATTGTGCATTATCCCCCCACACATTGTCCCAGCCAGCACTTGGAGCACCCTTATGCCCCTCGATAAAGTTCTGATTGCCATGAGGATGGGGCGGACCAGGAAGTGCACCAGGGCCCGGGGGATGAACTTTGTTAGGCTTTGTTTTGACACCAAGCAATCTAAGCACAAATCTAGCCAACTCTCCATATAACATTCCTGAGCGATCAAACAGCTGCAAAAGACATTTTAGTGAAATATCATGTCAGACATCCTGAGTATTTTCCACAAATTATTAGGACAGTAGAAATACATTTCTAAAGGACAATGAAATGAAGCACTAGTTACTTAAAACTGTTGGGGTGCAAGGGCAGTTGTTAGTGAAGAGATACCTGAAGCATTGCCGACATGAACATGTGAAATGCCTGGGTATTCTGGTCTATCAACATTGCAACGCGGCCAAAGAAAGTTACAACACCTTGCATCTACATTATTACAATCACAGGAAGTCAAACAATTAGTTATCAAGGCCAAAAGACATACATGATGTCTATAAAGTAAAGACTAATACCCTATGTTACTAGTAGTTTCAATAGCACCAGGTACCAAAGAACAACCCTCTTCTCACACCATAGCCCAAAATAAAATACGTGAAAGAACACTTAATTTTATTTAAATCTCCTTGAACTTTTTGATAATTCAAAGGGACCCTCAAGTTCTTAGTCATAGGTATTGACAAACCTACTAACTGCAGGCAAGAAAATCACAAATGTCAAATAAGAGAGTACACAATTTATAAATGCTTAGCCTGGATCTTATAATCAAAAAAATTGAGGAACCTAACTAAAAGTTTCTTTTTGGGATAAAGTGGGGTCTAACTAATATCTCATTACAGAAACCCAGGAGTTGCAAGAAGCCACTGAGACTTCACAAGCCTTGTTAAATTTCTATCCTTCCCTATGTGATTCCACCCCTTTATTTTGGAGGCCTTGCTCCGTTACCCATTCACATGCACCTAATTTTAGTCGGTTATCCAATCCAAAAACAAAAATTCAGCAATAAGGCCAATATAGTTTTTACTTGAAGTGCAAGTCAAATGAGAGACTTATGCAAATCAAATTCATTTTAGGGGCCCTGGAACAAACTTATAGAACAGATATAGATTATTTGGTACTGTTAGAGCTTACCACGTGCATGAAGGAAACCCAGAAGCCTGGTGGAGAAGATGGAGCACCATAGGGATTATTTGGATCTTGGTCCCCAAAGCCGCCCATGCCCATGCCACCCATGCCGCCCATGCCCATGCCATAACCCCCCATTGAGCCACCAAACCCACTATTATACATTCCACCACCGTACATGCCACCACCTGCAAGTCCACCATAACCTCCTCTATACATACTGTTTCCATATAAACCACTTCCATATGTGCTTCCATAGCCACCACCATAAGAAGAACCATACATTCCAGTTCCATATCCAGAATTATAATTCATCCCTGTATTATAACCTGCATAAGCAAATAATCAGATCAATACTCTTTATAAAAGGCCTCAGCTCCTCTTACTTCAATTTCAATTACTAATTTCAATTACTAGATCAAAACCTTCAACAATCAAGAAAGTCCTCATCAGTGTAAGGGGAAACGAAAAAGAGTATGTCCATAACAACATTAAGATTTGACTAGGTAAACACACAGATGCTATTTATACTTCCAGGAATACACAGTATAAAGAAGAGGGGGAATTGGATTGCATATGTATAGACATATTATTGCAAATGAATCAACGTCAAGTAGGCACTTCATCCCCGAGAATAGATACATAAGATAGAAAGTAATATAGACTAGCAGAATGGATGCCAGTTCCATGGAATATTCAATCAGAGGTTAAGGCAATTTAACAGGATCCATGACTAAGATGAGTACCAAAAAAAGGATAAATGGGGTGGGGCAGTTTGAGATCAGACTTCGATACCTTATAATGCTTTTTTAAACAAGGCAATCTTTTAGGTTTTGTTGTCACAAATCTATTGTATCTGAGCTGAGGGTCTCCGGGAAATAGCCTCTCTACCCCTCTAGGGTAGGGGTAAGGTCTGCGTATACTCTACCCTCCCCAGACCCCACTGGTGGGATTTTACTGGGTTGTCGTTATTGTTGTTAGTAAACAAGGCAATCTTATAATGCATGCAATAGAATTACACAGTAAGTCAAATCAGAATATATAAAGGAAGAACTTGCCTAGTTAATGATGGCGTGCGTAATAATAAATCACATATTGTGTTATGAAAATGAAAAATCACATGCATGCTTCTAAAGCCAAGATCGTAATAAACCGTCTTTGATGCAAGGGGGCCAGCATTTGTGATATCAAGAGTGGACCTTAAGGATGTAAAGGACACTACAAAATCATAACACAGCTGTCCTAGCATGAAAGACATCAATAGTGTCTTTGAGGATTAAAGATGACATGTTTGAAATCATAGATTTCTGGATAGTCAACCCTCTAACTGAAAACACAAAACACACACACAGAAGAGCGAGAGGGAGAATGAACTAATAAACATCTTATACCTCCGCTACCGTAAGTTTGATGTTGCTCCCAAGGTCGAGGAGGTACAGGCCTTGCAAGAGTGCTATTATTAACAGCTGTATTCCTATTAGCAGTTGAAACAATCTCACCAGGCCTGGCTGTTCCGGATGCCTCTACTACGTCACTCGTGTTACCAGAAGAGGGGGGCTTAAAAGGTGTAGGGCCCGAAGAGGACCCAGATCGTTCCCAAGGTTTCGGAGGTGGGCTATTACCTGCAGTGGAAAACAAATATTAACTCAATAATACTCGAAAGTTAAAAGAGGAAAATGAGTTAGTCGAGAGTAGATTGCTTCAGTGGATTCTAATCAAATAAAACAAAAGTACTTACTAGGAAGGCCTAAAAAATTTTTAAACCTTGCTCTTATAATAAATAGACAAATCTACTGTGAGAAACCAGTAACATGTTAGATAGCCTTTAAATGTGGCAATCTATTTAAACTGACCAAAATAAATACATAGCAACTACTATTGTAAGAAACTAAGACCAAAGTTTAGAAAAATATGAAATTCCGTGTATGCTTTCTCCCTAATAATTAATTCTATAAAGAAGTGTGTTTTAAGATTGCAAAGTATCAACTGCCAGAAGTAGCTATGGCATGTGTAATGAAGTTGCTTTAATTTAGTTTTACTACTTCTAATGATCAATGATCAAATTGTAGGGTACACAATTATCTCAACAACAACAACAACAACAACTACCCAGAACACAATTATCTCATTACATGCAAAAATATGACCCTGTAAATACATTTTAAATGGAAAACGAATGGCTTTAATGGTATTTCATACTGACATTCCCTCTTTGAAACAACTCAGACTTTTTGCCACGAACTCTGAGATCAGCTCAAATGCAAAAGTGTCCTATCAATTAATCAACTATGGCTTAATCCTAAACGAGTTGTAGTCAGTTATATAATGCCCAATATCTTTTCTGCTCCAGTATGATCAATTACATACCAATTCTCAATAATTTGACCTTTTACACTCCTAGAAGATGAGATTTCCTACGAGGAAAGTTAGAGGCTTTAACAGAACCACATTATATACACGTACGGTAGACAACACCAACCTTAAAGACTAAATCTAAGACACTAGAAAATACAACAGGTGCAAAAAATCTGTATCAAGTGGGTAAAGGCGTTAGATTGAAAGCAAACCTAAGCCCCAATCTCTTAACTAATTTCCAGTATGCAAGAGCTCCAGCAGAATTCCCATTCAAATTCATCTTGATCGGAACGAAAAAGGACACATGAACTAAGTAAATTCAATATAATCGAAACACCTTGATCCCAAATTAATCAGTCTCATATCCAATCTATTCTGATCTAAATCATTCCAATACCAAATAGTGGGGTGGCTTACCAGCTATAATGGACCATAGGAAACCAGAGTTCCAATCTCAACAACAACTACTAA